CTCCACCCCGGGCACCCTGTATCCGGGGCCTGGGGGTGAGCGGGCCGGCTCCCTGCTGGCAGCGGGAGGGGTTTGGGGCGGCTCCAGGACAGGTGGCCGGCGCTCGGGACTCCAGCTTGGGGACTTCACCTGGAAGGGGCTTTCCCAGGCCACGTGGGGTGCGGGCGGTGGGGTGCCCAGCGCCCTGAGACAGGATCCCCTTTCCGCGCAGGAGGAGCCTGCAGGTCTGCTTCCCCACCCAACACCGGGTGAGGGCTTTAGGACGCACCCCTCCCCATGAGCTGGGCGAGCCCCCCAGCCCCAGGTTAAGGTTGGGGGTGGGTCCCACGTTCTTGGGCACCTGGCATCCAAAGCCGAACAAGGTGGGCAGGCAGCGGGCTGGGCCTGCGGGGCTCACACCGCCCTTGCCTGGGACTGGAACCTTCGGAGGTGCCCCGGTGGCACCCATGTCCCCGCCTGGCCTGACTGTGAGGTCTGACTCCGGGAGCGGGTGCCTGTGTGTCGGGATGGCAGTGCCAGGAGTCGGGCCTGGCAGCTGCTCCCAGCATCCTGGAGTTCCGGCTCCATCCCGCTGGGGGTGGGGCTTGTGCCTGCCAGCTCCAGAGCCTACTGAGAGGGCCTTGTGCTGGCGGCCAGCCGGGTGGGGCAGGGCCCTTCCCAGGAGCCAGATGTCACACAGCCCTGCATCTGCTGACGGGCAGGGGGGAGATGGGCCGTGGCCTTGAAGTTTGGGGAGGACACCAGGTGACATGAGGCTGTTCCCAAGGGCCTGGAACCACCCCTGGAGTTCTGGCTGGTGCACCCCCTCCACCGGGTCCTCCAGGGCTCTGGGTGCAGAGCCCTATCCACAGGCCCGCGGCTCAGACCAGCCTGGAGCACCCTGTGTGGTCAGGACCCCTGTGGGTGGGAGGCAGATGGGGGTTTTCTCAGAGGGGAGGAGCCAGGACGCCANAGTAGGGCAGAAGCCCAGACACAAGGCAGAGGGAGTAATCCAGAAGGCTGCCTGGAGGGGGCGCAATCACCCATAGGCCTCCAGGCTTGTTATTTTGTGACAAGGGAGCTTGCTGAGGAGAAGCTGTTCAAGTCTCCCAGCCATGCCTGAGCTTCCTTTCTGTCCCATCCTGCCAGAGCCCGTGTCCCAGCTGCAAGCTAACTTCACCCTGCTGGACAGGTCGTCAGGCCCGAGGGTAGAGATATCCTGCCAGGCATCCTCGGGCAGCCCACCCATCACCTACACACTGGTCGGAAAGGACGGGCGTATCTACATGCAGCAGACACCACACCATGGGCAGCCCGCCAACTTTTCCTTCCCACTGACCCAGACGTTAGACTGGTTCCAGTGCAAGGCGGAGAATGCCATCAGCGCCCAGAGCAGCCCCCTTACACTGGTGCCCCCAGGTGAGAGGGCCCCTTGGTTTCCAGCTGGCACTTCTGGGTAGGTGGGTGAGAGGTGCCAAGAGCAGGGAAGGGCATCGGGAAGCAGCCCTGCCTACCCTGGCCCCTCCTGCCTCCTTCACAGGACAGCTGCCCAAGGAAGCCACCATCGTGCTGGCTGCCAGCCTCACCTCCATCGCGGCCATCACCTCCGGGATGCTGAGCTGGACCGCATGGAGGAGGTAGGCGGTGGGTGCTGGATGTGGGGGACGGGGAGGAAAGCGGGTGGCCTGTGTGAACCAGCAGAGGCCCTGGCTGGAGAGCAGAGGGTGGTGGGTTTGTAGGGCAGGGCTCCCACCGGGACAAAGAAAGCGCCGTATCACTTGGGTGGGACTTGTAGAAGCTCATCAAGGGCCTGCTCTGTGCCACGTGCCTGCTGAGGGCTGGCTCATTCGTGGCGTTACGTGACCCTGCCCACTGGCCCCAGTGTGCGGCCCTGCAATGCAGTCGGCTGGCCCCTGAGTGGGGCACTCCCCTGGGTTCCTTATGGGCCTGAGGAGGGATGTTAGGGTGGGGGACATGCCTCCCGGGACCAGGGTGGATCAGGAGCTTCTGACCTCCATGGAAACCATGTAGGTCACTGCTTCCCAGCTGGTGACAAGAGGCAGGGATTGGACCTCCTGGGGTCCCTTCTCCAAGGTCATCATCATTCCAATAACTTGTAAAGTGACCAGGGCCTTTGTGTTGTGCAAACCCAGGTGCCACAGGCCTCTGTGTGCTTCACCTGCCCGGCCTGTGGCGCAGTCGCCTGAGCCCATCAGCTTCTCACCTCCCTTGGTTCC